GTGTAGCCCTGCGATAGACTGGTGACCTGTCCAGGGTGTCTCCTGCCTTCACCCTAAGTCAGCTGGGATAGACTCCAGCCCCCCTGCGACCCCAGTGAGGATTAAGCGGCGTATAGATAATGGATGGATGGATGTTAGTTTTTCTCTATGAAACAGCAACAACAAACCATCAGATGCTGAAGTCCTGTCAGAGAAACGATAAGTTCTATTTAAAGAAAAAGTTTTGAACTGAGCCATGTTGGTTTTTCAGATGTCATGTTGTGGCTGATAGATGCGTGGGTTTGTTTTTAGGAGTTAAAACCAAACTAACTACTGAAGCGTTAATGCTGAGATCAAATGACTGATATTTATCTGGACCTTTTCTTCAGGAAAACTACGGTCATGAGCAAATATTTAAACATTAACGCTGAGCCCAAAAAACAAATAGACACACACAGGAAAACTCAGGCCTGTGTAAAGCTGCCGTTAACTCAATTTTAACTTCGCTCCATTTCTCATGTGGCTTCTGTTCGACGTAAAGAGCTCCTCCTCATCTGCAGTTTGGTTGAGCGCTTTCATCACCTGCCTCTCTCTCTCTCTCTTTTGTGTTGCCTTGCTTTATCACGATGTAACTAGGGGTGGAGTGGAGGGCCTTCAGGCACAGGGGACAGTAGGGTAGATGGGGTCTCCCAGGATAAATCACCAGAGATAAAGAGTCAGACGGGGTCTCAGGAGATCTATCGGTGGCTGAAAGTGCAGCAGTAGCCAGAGAGCTGGGCGGTATTTCAGTCCGGTGACGGGTAAAGTTTTCTGCTGAGGGCTGAAGTGACCTAAGGACAAGAGGGTCGGTTGAAGAAGGTGGCCCTCTTATGATGCTGATTACTTCCACGTTGTCTTATATTCTGTCACTGCACCACTCTTCTTCTCTCTCATTTTTTTTTTCTCTGTCATGTATCTGCTATATGGATAAATTGTGACAAGTGTTCTGTAATATCAAATCTCATCATACTACTACATACACATACTGGTGCCTGCCTTTGCATTTATAGCAGGATTAGGCCACTTCACCATTTCCACTGAGAGATGTGATTAAATTCTAGCCTCATATGACCCTTACTCACTTGGCTACCAAGCCTCAAAAGCCAGGAGGACAAAATGTACCCAGTTCTCCAATAGCGTCGTATCGCTGGAGCTGCAGTGATTAACTGACTGATGGATTAGTTGTCAACTATTTGTCACCAAGCGTTTGGATAACTGATTAGTTTGTTTTTTTTAAAGAAGAAAAAGCCAAAATCCTCTGATTTCAGCTTCTTAAATGTAAATATTTTCTGGTTTCTTTACCCCTCTATGAAGGTAAACTGAATATCTTCTGGTTGTGGACAAACATATTTTATTTATTTATGTATGTGTATATGTATATATGTTTAAATTATTATTTATTTTTACATTTTAGACACCAACCAGCTAATTTACAGAATATTCGACACATTATTCGACATCATTTTTGCTTGTAGCTGTGTGTGTCGTCCAGTGGTTCTTGATCAAATCTAAAAACATAATAATAATGGCAATAAATATGCATCATCTTGAAATGTGACATGGCTTTTTATGCACCTTACAAATGACTTGAAAACTTTAGTGGGTCTCTCTTAGTGGGTCTTAAGTCAGAATCATTAAGTTAATTAGTGCTGAGAGTGTCCTAAAGAGATTTAAACCCTTATTCTAGTTTTGTTCTCTTTTAATAGTTTTTTTATTCTGTCATATTTACATGTTCCAGAGAGGATGGACCACCTGCCTGATAATAACTCCAGGTACAAAGACGTCGAATACTGGGATGAAAGATACAAGACGGAGCAGTGCTATGACTGGTTGGGGAGCTTCTCCAAATTCCAGCACCTTCTGGAAAAATTCGTCCAGAAAGAAGACTCCATCCTGATACTAGGTTCGTAGTTTTATTCCTATTTTATCTGTCCTTTCTTTGGAGATCTGTTCTCTTCTTCTTCTTCTCTCTGACACCTTTTGTGGGAGAAACTAAGGGTCAGAGCTGGTGATTACAGTTACAAAGGTCCCTGGTTTGAGTCCCGTGCCTGCATCGCGTGTCAAAAATCATCTCCAACCCCCGTTTATTGTCACCTCTCCACTGTCTGCTGTCAGATAAAGAGAAAAATCCCTGCCACCGTTTGTCATTCTGACTGCCACATGTCATCACCACGCTTGTCATTATTGTCATTATGATCATTAATGCTGCCATTAAATCTTTCCAGACAGTCATTTGTATAGAATCGCGTGTTGGTGTGATGAACAGGGCTTGAATACTGTGATGTAAGAAAGTATTAACACATTTGATTTTTTTGCTGAAGACATCTGCTGCATAGTATTTTATTTTTTTATTTATGATTCAGTCTTAATTAGACCTGAATATTGTTTGAAAATGTTTTGCACCATCTTTTGCATTTCATACTAACTGCTTTTGTCTCAAGAACCTGTTTTATTTAACATTTCAAGTGTTACATTTTACATAAAAACCATCAGCAATAGGAGCATTTTGCTGAAAGAAATGCAAAATTATGATAATTTTGTCATTAATTGTCTCACCACTATTGTACATTCATGTCATCATGCAGTGTGATGCACTGCAGAAGCTTCATAATGAATAAGGAGCAGACGATCTGATGTTGTGCATACTATTGTTGCTATTGTTGGTTGATACCAGATATACAGTACGCAAAGACAAACAAGTCTGCACAGGAGATCTTTGCTCCCTAACCCTCTGTGTTTCTTTGCACTTCTCACATTTGTACTCACCGTGGGCTTGCTTTTCTCTGCAATATAAAATCCTGCACCTGTATGGAAACCACTCAACCATCGCTGGAGGTGCAGAGAACACAAAAATATCTTTTGTGCGACAGTTAAGAATCCAACGATTCTTTCTGTTTTTACAGTTTCTGGTTCCGATAAATGGTGTAATTATAGCGATTTTTTAAAAAAGATGGCACTCCTTTCAAACCTGCCAGTGGGGTTTAGGGTTCAGAGGGTTAAGAAGGAAGCTAAATTGTTTTGTTGTTCTGTTGTGACATAATAAGAGGCGATCCAGGTGCCTCTTTTCCCCCCATTACTGTTGCAGCAAATGTCTTTCTCTAGAAAAATGTCTAGGAGGTACCAGCTAGTAATTGCTTTACTTTTAAGGACAAACTGGACTGAATATTTATGTCGCAGTGACGCCATATGCCAGCATATATTGTGATAGAAAAGACCACAATCAGATGATGCACTAAATGCTAAATGAAAGTGTTTGGTAGCTTTTTGTTATGGAAACTTTTTATTTAGGATAAAGTTGTGTGGTTCATTACCCAGTTCTGCTTTTTTTTAATTTTATTTTTTTTTATTGTACGATGTTTGACTATATTTCCTAAGTTGTTTCTTCTGCACATTGTTCCAAGTCATTCAACACATCCTATATTCCAGAGTGTTATTTAGCCTTCATTAGTAATAGAAGCAACATTCATTTGCTCACCAGGATGAGTTGAATCCTTTCTGCAAATGCCCACAAGGTGTCACCGTTGCATTAAGCGATATCCTTTGTGTTCGCCACTGTACCTGCAGTACAATGTTTAATGACCCTGCTGCTCTGCAAAACGTGCTACCAAACAACACAGGAATCGTGAGGGCTGTGTTTTGACAGGAGATTCGACGTGCATGGGACTCTGAGCTGCAGAAAACACGAAGCACGTGGCTTGAGATTGTCGCTATGGGCACACGTTGTTTGTTGCTTCCGTGTTGTTGTGATATTTGACACAATCGTAACATTTTATTAGTTGCATTTGCATATCATTGTTATTTGCTTACTAGCTCAGAGCTACGTATCTCACTCTGCATTGAAGTAATTCTTAATTTAATTGTTTTTTTTTATGTAAACATGATCAGAGCAAGCGTTTTGTTTCCTGTGGTCGATGCTGCACACTTTGATGTTATCACTTTTGTAGGTTGTAATAATAAGATTTTTACTAAGGAAAGATTCTGGACACTTAAAAGGATATTTTAATTATTTTTTTATTTTTCTTAATTATCATTTAGAGTAGTTGTAGGAGGAAGCCAATATGCTGAAACGCCTGCTTTGAAGTCTTTTGTTGTTTGCTTGTTATTCCTCTCCAGAAGCACAGAGGGCTACGGTGGTCTGTTTCTTTCTGATGGAAGCCTTGTTTATGCATGCGCAGTGGTGTTTGTGTGTGTCAGGAGGTTTGTTAAATTTGTGTCAGGGAGTGACAGGGGCTTTCTACTATGTGTGTGTGTTCGGGGGGAATGGGACAAGTGTGGTTCCCAAAAGTTGGCTATTCTTTTCTCTTTTCCTGCAAGACCACCGCAAAAAAAAAAATGCATGCAACTTTATTACACCTGCAGGGTTTAATCTGGATGTTGATGGTTTGCACCCTTGCTGGTTAAAAACTGAAGCGGTAAGTTCTGACAGACGGACGGACGGACTCGGATAGTGTGCAGCCTCACTTTTTCAGTGTGCGTCATAGGCACACCTACAGCAGAGGCGTGAGTGGGCTCAGAGACTCTGGAGTCTGATATATAAAACATCTTCTCCTGCTTCTCTCCTGCATTACACTGCAGCAGGCAACGCAAGGGCAGGCCACTTTCTGCACATTGATTTAAGCCCAAAGGAGAGGGCCATTATATCGCTTGAGAGCTTTCATCTAGAAGGGCATCTCTCTCTCTCTCTCTCTCTCTGGCTAAATTGTGGAATCACGCATTCCTGTGACCTGCACGTGTCGGTGTCTTCTCCAGCAACACGCATGCACAGAGGGGGAGCTATACAGAGAAGCATATCGTAAAGATGCGCGAACCGTCACGTGCCGTATAGACGCGAAGAGTTCTCGAAAGCACTTCGCTACCGCCTGCGCATACACTCGTTTGTCAGGCCCGTGCATCCAGAGAGACTATCGACGATGAGATGACACAAGAAATTAGCGTCACTATCGAGGGACCGGGGCATAACTGTACAGAGGGGGGGGAGGGAAAAGACTTGAAGAAAAGACTTGAGGCGCCACGGTGCTGTTTGTGTGTGTGTTGATGGAGGAAAGAGAGATGGAGGGGGGGTAAATAACTAATCAGGTTTGGGGCCGCTCGGCTGTCTCAGATGGAGGTCATTTCCATTAAGATAATCTGTACAGCACAGAGGGAGAAAAGAGGGAAAAGGGAGGGAGGGCTGCATGGATGAGGAGAGTTCTCGAATGTTGTGCTGCGTCTTGATGGCACTTTTAATGTCGTTCTCCTTCCACGGATTTGTTTTACTTTGCTTCTCTCTTTATCTGTACAGTCTAATAATGCATCTTGCTGTTTATCTGTCAGCCTCCATTTCCCTGTTTTCTCCTGCTTCACCAAGTTTCTGCCTCCTACCTCCTCATTACCCTACTTCTGCCTTTTGATATTAGTCTAGTTTGTCGTGATCGCCTTTTCAGCAGTTGCCATATACGGTCCTGTATAACAGCACATTTGTGATAATCTGGAATTACATGAGGTAGTGCAAGCATGATGTGGATAAGAACTTTCCAGCATTTCACAGACTCTGCACCAAAGTTTGCTCAGCTGTGACTCTGCTACATGCGCTGCAGACACTGTTGTAAACGATAGAGGTGAAGCTGCTCTGCTGGACAAACTGTATGATAACGGTGCTTCTAAATTACCCCCAAGTATCTCTTTCTGTATGTTCTGTCAAGGAAGGTTTTCACATCGGCGTATACACTGATAGTAACGAATGATCTGTGCTAGCCCACTGCTGGATCAGTCTGGCTCTACTTTAAAATGCACAGATAGGTGACAATTTAAAGGAAATCTGACCTCTTGACCTCCACAGTGAGAGGATTCTGTGGCTGTGTTAGCCTTCAGTGCGATTTTTGCTTGAAAGGTTTGGGTTCAGTCACACCCTCATAGAAGAGTCACTGCAAGTCAATAAAAAGTGGATCTGACTGGCCACCTTAATGCTGTGATGAAACATTTCCATCCTGATAGGAGGGGTCTCTCCATCCATAGAGAACATGAAAATGATGTGAACCTTTCATAGACACCAGATTTCAATACAGTTTAACATCTGTGGGAGATTCTGGATTTTGATTGCGTTCAACAGCGCCATCATCACAACATCAAACGAGGGAATATGTTTTGTAAGAATGATGTTCATCCCTCCAGTAGAGTTTTAAAGACTTAGATCAGGGGTGTCAATCTCAAAAACACAGAGGGCCAAAATTTAAAACCTGAACAAAGTCGCGGGCCAACATTGAACATATGGACCGAAACAAATTTTACTTTAACATTGAATATGGAACAAGCAACGCTTATTACCATACATTATATATAAGTTAATAGTGGAGACATGCAAAATCAAATAATAAATAAAAAAACACATCAATGGCACAGTGACAGTTGTAGTGTGAAGTCGCTATGCCTACTGTCACAGAGGAGAGGGAGTTTCTGGGTCCTGTACTGATCGACGCGCCAAAACAACAACAGGGCATTATGGGATTTGTAGTATTAGCGGTGAATGCGCTGTACAGTATAATACCGGGGGCAGCTCTAGTAGTCATTTGGTATTGTCTCCGCGGGCCAAATGTAATTACAAAGCGGGCGAAATTTGGCCCGCGGGCCAGAGTTTGACACCTCTGACTTAGAGAATCAAGATTCTTTGCAGCTGTTTTGGAGGCACAAGTCGGTTTTCGCTTATGTTCTGTAACTCCTGCCTTCTACAACGCATTGGCCGACATGTTCCATCATTATGCTGTATAACATGTATAATGTTCTGCTCCTGTAAATACTCATAATCTGCAGAGAAAGTCCTCCTAACAAACAGTTTTCACTGCTTGCCACATTGCCCATATACATAATATATTTATGGCCTTTTACATTTTTAGCAGGAACAACAGGGTTTTGGGCCGATAAAGACAG